TCCAACAATGCCCAGTCGATATATTGCTCATCGGCTAGCTCCAGCTCTTTCCCTCTAAGTAAAGAGATGTGCCTGGTGTTCCCGATTGTGAGTTTTCACTGTCGATGTCATAGCATTTATTCCTTATCTGATTTGTTCTAATAACATTGCACTGTCTGCCTCCTCCGTTAAGAATAGTTTGCAGCTCCTTTGATGACTGGCATCTTCGTCGTTTTCTAGTCGATCATCGGCTGCTGTCGCTGTGCTACCACTTCCCTAGCTGCTGGAAGATGTGAACCAAGTTCTAATAGCTTATTTTTCGCAATCTACCTCAGTTCCACAAAGCCTTTCTGGCCATTGGTATTCAGGGCAACGACGGAACCTATTTGATAACGGCAATACCATGATGGGTAGATTGCTAAGTTCTACCGGAGATCTCAACTCAGTCCCTCCCCAATTCCCTCTCAGTTCTCATCCACACTTGGTACAGGCAACGGCAGAGTTATATTCGTTGTGTATATTTTTTGTTTAGACACTTTTGTCATAGGCATTTAACAAACAGGCAGGAAGTTATCTCTTTCCAGGGTGTGAAAATTGTTCCAATTCGTCTAACAGCCCAGTGGGAACTTTTATGATCTGTTGACTACAAGTGTCTGCTCCAGTCTCTGGAATGCAGATAGTAAATATTCGTTGTCTCAGCGCCGTCAAGCATGTTATTAATTTGAGATTTTTCGATTTGATGCTGTAGTCGATTTCTTAGTATTAAAAATGGGATCCTCTTTTAATAATTTACTAACTAAAGGAAAAGAGAGACTGTAGCGACGATCGAGTCATCTGCCTGTTTAGCATACCCGGTAAAGTGTATCTAAACTTTTTTGAAAATAGCTGCGACAAATAGTAGAGCAAAAGATTCTAGACATGTGTGGCTTCCGTCCCGATGGCGAGACCGTAAACTATAACGCTGCCCGATATGCGGCAAATGCTCGGAGTATTCGAGTGAGATTTGTACATGCTTCTTAATCCTGATCGAAGTTGCAGCGATTACTGCAGGATTAGCCAACCATTAAGAGTCATAAGATCCATGCGCAACTGCGCGGAAATCAATGTCCCGACTGATGGCAAGAACAACATACCTTTCAAGTGCACGTTGATCTCTCCAGCGGTGTATACTGTCTCATGTCTTGTACTTAATTTATGTGGATGAGTATATTCAGCGTGAGCACGGAGACAGTGACATTTGGAGAGGGCCGACTCCATAATCCGTTGCCTGTGGATGATGTCGTAATTTTTGCTTCGTCGCCTGATTACCTCCAACGTACGCTAGAATGGCTCGCGGCTACGTGGCGCAATGATGCAGATATAAAACTCAGCCTGACTGGTACCGAGGCGTTTCTACTATCTAATAGGCTCCCCCTCTCACCGCTGTAATCTGCAGGGAAGAGAATTGCACAAAGACCACGTAAAGAAATTTAACTGTTCGCAGGGTATTATTAGCGAGTGATAATGGATAGGAATCGATACAAGGATCGGCTAGTCGAGCGTTTTAATACAGGAGTTAAATCTGTGGAGTGACGAAGAAGTATGGAGCTTTCTCTCCTCAAATCTAACTATGCATATTCATTTACCTGTGGTCATCAGCGTTGGATATTGACCGAAAAGTGATTCGGATCCCGGATACTTGCAGCAGAAATCAGGCTTTTTCGAACTGCTGTCCTAACGAAGCTGAGCAAAATGCGGGACGCAACAGCTGAGACAGGATTTTTGCTTGTTAGCGTACTTGGTGTTTTTGATAGAAACAATGTAAAGGGCTTTATTTGCATAAATAATGACAATATTATTAATTTAGATGCCGCCGAAGATTTTGAAGACAACTGTCTGAACATCTTCCCGTATTTCTCTATAAGTTGTTTTGTGGGTTATGGCGATGACGAAAAGGTATAAACATCAATATTTGAACTGTATGTTTTAGCGGCATATGTGATGTCTGTGTTTCTTTTCAAGTCACGCCAGAGTTCGGTAATTTCTTGCTGTCCATATTCAGACATCCACCTGTCCTCTCATTCTTTACTATAAGGCTTGCACCTCAAGCGTTACAACAGTTTCCTTAAATTGTTAAGTTTTTGTAAGATGCTACTGAAAAATAGAGGAGGTTAAGTAGGAAAAACTATGCGTTGAGGAGGTAAAGTGTTCTATTTTTTATGTGAAGGGCATAGTGAAAATGTGTTCCTCACTCGAGATGGAACATGCTTAGAATATAGAAGAGAACAACATCAGATGAAACGAATTAACTGGGGTTGTTACCAGAAGATGAAACCGTAATTGAAGAAGAAGTTGCAGCAAGAGTAAAAGACAAAGAAGGAAAATATAGGAATGCGAAAAGGTATTTTGATACCATTATGATGTCGAGCTTCATTACACCTTTCATGATTATGGGCTATTTCTGGCGCCCTTCTGTTCATGAAGTTTATGGTGCGGCGACGATCTCCGTTTCTCTGCCAAAATCCAGGAATGCCATGTTTTATAGATAGAGTCTACAGTTGAGTACCAAGCGTAGCCCGTGGTCTCCTGTGTCCTTGTTTTCTTCCCACGTAGTGGCACTGATTTATCAACATCGGATGAAAGAAAGGAGAGTTAGCGGCCGAGATCCGAAACCTGGACCTCGTTGTCTGAGTCCTATGCCTGCCAATTGAACAGCCTTGATTGGTAGTGACAAAATTGGAGTAGAAAAAATAGGGAAGCCAAACTAAATGACGGAAGTGAAAATGCGGGAAAAAAGGAAAAATATGGAATGCAAGAGAGAAAAGAACAAAATAAAGAAAAAGGAGAAGACGAATTCGAAGGGTAGAAAAAATTGAAGATGAACTGTATAACGAAGCAAAAGATCACGAAACAGCAGAAGAATGAGAAGATGATGATGACAAGAAGGAAGATGGAAATGGAAAAGAATTAGTCAGGAGAAAATGTGGAGAAGCAGAAAAAGAAGGGAATGGCGACGAAGAGGATGAAGAAAAGGGCAAAGAAGAGAGCGAGAATAAATAAGAAAAGGAAAAAGTGAAATATGAAAACTTGAATAATTTGGGTTGAATAATTTGAATCACAAAAAGACGCTTCGTTCAAAGAATGTTTTCCATTCATACATAACTTTGTTGATCTTTGTTAACTGGCGTTGTTTCGAATCGAACATATCGACTACGGAATCATGGGAGAGGGTGAGGTGCGGCCCTTTTGCGATTCATAAGTGTAATTTTACTCCTTTTCGAAAATGTAAACAAGCAGTAATGCTTTTCGCAATGAGAAGATGACACTTTCCACCTGATTTAGACATTCATGTCTCAACAGACAAAATACTGTTTTTGTTAAGGACTCTTAGACGAACCTCTCTTAGCCGGGGTATTTTCTTAAAATATTCCGAGCCCAATGCCCACAATAGTTGAGTCTGCAGCCCTTCAAACCTAGAATCTCAGTGATTAGACAAGAAAAGGTACGTGCAAACAATGCTGGTTGAATGATACCGAAGTATGAATGATTACATCAGCGTGTTCATCAGTTGCATGTGAGAATGATTACATGAAAACAGTGTGCACAGTTGTGCATAATGTTGTTAACCCTCTTTAAATAGCCGGTGGCTCTTATTGTTGCTGGTATTTTGTAAATTGAATCATGGTTAATGTGTCTGGCGTTTCGGATGGAGAATGTCATTAGTGGCCTTTTGATACTTCCTTTAGGTTGCAGGTTTTTTCATGCTGAAAGTGGTTTCTTTATATTTTTTAATTTTTTGCTTAGTGGCATCATAACCATTACTATCAAGTTGATTTCATTAATTTATTTATTTACCTTAGCGGACGTTCTAATTTAGCATTCATTTGCGGACATCCTGTTCGACATTTTTTATTCGAAAATGTCCAAAAATGACTAGACCGATTTTCGTTTTTCACGTATTGCCTTTAGGGATTTTACGCGGTCTACCGGGACGTGTTTGATCAACTGGCAGTCGAAGAACTGGACTTCATAAGCGATCCGGGGAAAAATCAGTTCCCCACATTTGGTTATTCACATAGTGACTATGACACGGTGAGTTAATGCGTATCTGGTTATTGCTTCAGAATACCTTGTGATGCTACAATCTCCTGTAGCACATCATGAATTAGAATCAGTCAAGAATGTACAGACTGTGAGTCCATTGGTGACATTTAAGAATTTGGTAATCCTCTGGCTTTGGCATGAATTTTGTTCTATATTGCGTTCGCTGGCTATTTTTTCTCTGCGCAGGTCTATCTCTGTGTTTCATACAAGAAACCGAAAATCCTGTGCGGTCTTTTGTTCAAGGCATTTAGCTTTAAAGTGTTTTTAGCAGCCAGGCTGGTTATTAACATTCGTCCTGAATAAAGTTAAATATTCTGAGAAATTTGGCGTATTCTGCTAAAGTTAAAAGGATCTTGCCTTCGTAGCGGGTGCCATTTTGCAGGGGTCCGCTGTTCTGACGAACTACTTGCGTATTCTTCGGTCTTTGTTCACTGTTTGGCAGCTCCTCGAAATTTCATGTTGTTTTCTACTACATCGCGTCATTTTTTTAGGTTTTGCTCTTGTTTATTGTTCCGGTATCGGTGTTTCAACCACGTTTCCATCACTACTTAGTTTCTCAAGTTTAGAGATGGTAATGGTTTATGAAAATTTTTAGTATCTCTACCACAGTACGCAGTGGTCAATGCATTTAACCATCCGTTCTATCCTTAAGACGGGCTGTAAAGTACAAATCGAAACGTTTTTAGCAATCTATCACTTTATGACGTTGTTTCACGTTAAATAAACCGAATTTTGCTGTGCTGTTCCATAACTACCAAAATATAAACAAAGTTCATCTTCATTTTTCATCGCCGCTTTTCCATTCGGGTTCCCGAGGCAGACGCGTCAGACAGACCTTCCAACGCTCCCGATCCTGTGCCAGAGTCTGAGCTTCGGCAAAAGACAAATGCAGTCTGGAACAGACT